AATGTTCAGATTTGACAGGGAACAGCAAAAGTGTTACTTTTTGCCCCTTTACAGAAAATAAAAGCATTTCAAAATAAAGGTCCTTTTTTGTGATCTTTCCCATTCACTCTGAATGGCCAGTCATTTTTGACCGGGAACACCACAAGTGTGACTTTGTGCCATTTTGTACAAAATAAAAGCCTTTCAAAACAAACTCCCTGATTAAACATTAAAGTACACTAGTGTGATAAACAGTACACAGTTTCTCCACATTTTATTTAATATTGTGAAAATTATTCATAAATAATAATTTTTTCACTCAAAAAATGAGGTGCTTATTTTCAGATAAATGAGGCCTACGATTAATCAGAGCAAATTTTCATCAGTTAATAAATAATATGGTGAATATTATTCATAAATGCTTTTTTCACTCAAAAAATGAGATGCCTACTTTCAGATAAATGAGGCCTACTATTAATCAGAAGCAAATATAAATACAAAACCAGTCCTAAATCAAAGATAAGTTGACGAAAAGATTGAATCCAATATTTGGTGATAATATAGCATAATGAGTGATTTATAAGCAATTTTTTGAGTACTGAAGTGCGCAGTGTTTTCAGCGTCTGCTGTCTCGCTAAATGAGAACATAAATACATGAACAACAGTCAGTGTCTGCTCTATTATAAATAATTTATATTTTAAAAATACCCAAAACAGCGGAATTACAAGATGGAAATATAGACTAGAAAGATATTTAAACTTGCTCTGCCCTTACGTCCATGACATTGACTCACTGCGGAGTTGTTTTGGCAATCTTTCCAGCTCTTAACACCGTATGTGCTCTTATGGTTTGATACATGATGGGCTAATGTAGAAGCAAATAACTTTTAAAAATAAACCCCTTTGTATTGCATTGCATATGGTATTTTCAGGGATGACAGATTGAGTAACTTTTCATACTTTGCAGTAAAAGTGGCTCTCCTGCTAACTTTGTCCAATAAGTGCGGCTCTCATGAAAAAAATAGTGAAGATCACTGTTTTAAAGCCTTCTTTTTATCATTTATAACTATTTATACTTGCACTCCAATCAGGAATTTTAGACATTTATTCAGGGTCTGAATTTCATTTTTGAAAATGTGGTGAATTCCCCTCTTAGGTGTCTCTTGTGAAGCAGCTTTCACACAGGAGTCCGCTACTGATCCGTGTTTACCACAGACACATTTATATCAGGGCTGTCCAAACTGGGTCCTGGAGGGCCGGTGTCCTGCAGAGTTTAGCTCCAACTTGCCTCAACACACCTGACTGGAAGTTTCTCTGGCTGCATTCGAAACCGCATACTTCCATACTATTTAGTAGGCAAAAAGCAGTAGGCGAAGGAAAAGTATGCATGAAATCTCAATATCCACAAAAGGGTAGGCGAGATTTACCTGGATGGAGCACTATTTCTCACGAGATTCGGGCGTACATATACTTAAGTATCATTCAAATATCCCTACTTGCCTACTATATAGTAGGTGAAATGGATACGTGAGAAGAGTAGTATGTCCGAAACCACAGTATTCATAGAGTAGGCGAGAGCTCCCCGGATGGCCTACTGCGTCCCGTCCAGACTCCGAAGTGCCGATCGCGGGATACTTTTCTATCCCACAATGCCATGGGAAAGGATACGTTAACCAAGAAGAAGAGAGGATGCATCTAATCTGCCGCAAATCCTGAAGAAGAAGAAGAAGGAGGAGGATACATCATAATTTAACCTGGAGAAAAACGGGGATGTTTTCAAATGTGAGTATTAAAAACCAAAAACATGGTTTCTTGTGTTAAAATTGCATTTTTTGAACTACCGTAAAGTAAACTGTTGAATTGTTGAAGGTGTTTGCACCGATATTATAGTATATTTGTGATTTTTGTTGTAAAAACGTGTTTATTTATAGCCACTGCTGAGCTCCAGTAAGCACACGTGTCTACAAAGTGGATTGCTGCATTCACGCGCAATCGTAAATGTCATTATTCCCACTTCTAAACTCATGATTGCAAGCACGTTAATGTGCAGTTTTTAACTAGGAAACTTACATACGTTAATTCAGATGGCTTGTGACTTTAGCATTTTATATGTTCTTAATTTATATACATAGTTAAAGACGTTTACTAAATGTTTGTAATATCTGACAGAAACCTCTTCGACAAGTATTGCAGAAGAGAGCATCACAACATGAAATAGACATCAGTGATGTGTGTGTGCTATTAGCTATGCAGTAGAATTCACTGTTGTCAACACTGCTAATGTAAATAATTGTCATGTAAATAAAACCATACTATTTTAAAGGTTTCAAGACATTAAAGTTATCAATAAGCTATCAAATGTATTTGTCTATTAGTACTGTTGATAAATTAAGTATCAAATGTTATTGGATAAAACGCATCAGCAACTGGCTCAACATTTATATACACTCTAAAAATAAAGGGTGCTAAAGAGCACTAAAAGTGGTTTGCTGGCTCGTAATCATAGGGGAACCATTTTAGTGCCATATAGCACCTGAACCACTGAAGAACTTTTTTCCTGTGTGTAGTGCTGAAAACATAAATCACAAAAGTAACTTGTAACAATCTTGTTTGAATGTTACAGGGACAGATGAGCACACACACATGTGCTTATCCAGTGGAGAGCGGCTAATGAGGCCCTCTTCACCGGAAAACAAAATGCAGCCATCAAAGGCTTTGAGTGAGTATACTACAGAAACCAATTAAACTGATGTCATATGCTGTTAATGTTATTTCAAACAGATATTACAGCACTTTTCTGATTCTTGACCTGAGGATGTAGAGCCCACAGCAGCATCCTGGAAGTGGTACAGGGCCATGGATGAGGCAATTGGGTGCAGACCCTCCATCGCTCCACCTGCCCTTATTGCCTCATCTGGCCCGGATTTTGCTGTGGCCTCTACATCCTCCGTGAGCCCAGCCCCAGACACAGCAAGGGCATCAAGTAAAAGAACCCAGAAATCTATTGAGAATCTGATCAAGGAGATGGAGGAGAGGGAAATGACAAGAGAGCAGGAAGCAGTCGAAAGGGAGGAGAAAAGATGGAGAGAAATGGAGGAGAAGGACAAGAGACGAGAACGAGACCGACAAGAGCGGGAGAGGATCTCAAATGTCCAGCAACCGGTGTGAGCACTGAGGATGTAGAGCCCACAGCAGCATCCTGGAAGTGGTACAGGGTCATGGATGAGGCAATTGGGTGCAGACCCTCCATCGCTCCATCTGCCCTTATTGCCTCATCTGGCCCGGATGTTGCTGTGGCCTCTACATCCTCAGGGAGCCCAGCCCCAGACACACCAAGGGCATCAAGGAAAAGAACCCGGAAATAAGTTGAGAATCTGATCAAGGAGATGGAGGAGAGGGAAATGGCAGGAAGCAGTCGAAAGGGAGGAGAAAAGATGGAGAGAAATGGAGGAGAAGGAGGATAGACGAGAATGAGACCGACAAGAGCAGGAGGAGAGACGACATGCTGAGGACAGAGAAAGAGAAGAAAGGTGGCACCAGGAAGCAAGTCAAAGGGAGGAAAGATTACTTCGCCTCCTTGAATGTATTGCAAATACATATGTATATTTAAACATGGAGTTTTGTTTAGAACAAACATATGTTTGAAATGAGAATTTAATTTCACACACACACACGGGGAGGAAATTAACTCTTCTGGACAATGGCCCTTCATAACCTATGTTGAGACTGTTTCCACAAACCACCTTCACTTGCATTAACTACACATAGTAACAGTGATTAAAGGTCACCCAAACATATGCTATAAACATTATTTACTTCACTTCATGGTGTTCCATCCCTCTAGTTTTATTTCTGAACATAAAAGCTGATTTTGGTCAAGTATATTCTGTTGGTTTCTGGTCATACAATATTGTCCAATAATGCGTGACATTTAGAAGCCTCAAAAGCATCAACAAATAGTGTAATGAACAAAAACAGAGGGATCAAACGACATGAAAGTGAGTAAATAATGACTGAATTTATATGTTTGAATGAACTAATCTCTCAAATAAAAATTGTATGAAATGTATATAAATGTATATAAGCCTGTAATAGTACCCTAAAGAAATAAACTATGACAGACACTTTCAAAAAAGGATTTACTTAGGAATACAAATCACATTTTCTTTCACAGGTAGTCATGCTCATGGAGAGCAGGCACACAACTGTTTGGAGCGGACACAGCAGCAGCCAGATTGTCCCGCACATGTTCTCCCCCTCAAGTCAAGTCAAGGTGACTTGACTTGGTTCAAGGTTGTGGGGTTCAGGGGGGGCCGTCATCATGGTCTTCCTCCACTGGCTCAACGATGTCCCCATTGACAAGAGCGAGATTGTGAAGCACAGCACAGCATGCAACAACCTCAGGCACGAAGACAGGGCTCACCTCCAAGGCCTTGAAGAAAAGGGAGCGCCAGCGTGTTTTCATCATGCCAAAGGCTCGCTCTACTATGCTTCGTGCGTGGGAGGGCTCGCTGTTGAAACGAGCCTGCACAGGGTTCTGCACAGGCTCTCTGTATGGGGTGATGAGGCAGATGGGTGCTCTCAGGCAAGGATAGCCCCCATCCCCGAGGATGCACTTTCCTGCAGGTGGATATAGGCTGCCAGCATATACAGGGCTGTTCCTCAGCACCCTAGAATCGTGCACAGACCCCGGATATCCCACAAAGACATCAAGGAATTTCCCCTGGTTATCAGTGATGGCCTGGAGTTGGATGGAAGGAAACAATTTTCTGTTGTAGTAGCATTGGGAGTTATTTCCTGGAGGTTTAATTTGGATATGACAGCCGTCTATTGCACCGACTGCTCGACTGAAAGCTGGTGACCCAGCTAGCTGTGCAAATCCTGCTCCCACTGCCTCCAGGTCATCCCTGGTTGGAAAAGAAAGGAAGGCTATTCCAGAGTTTGGGAGCCAAATGCGAAAAAGCTCTACCTCCTTTAGTGGACTTTGCTATCCTAGGTACTACCAAAAGTCCAGAATTTTGCGACCTTAGGGAGCGTGATGGATTTAATGTGATGGTTAATTAGGAAACAATAAAAATGAGTGAATTAATGTCAGTAAATAAAGCAATTTTTTCATTACTTCATGCATTAATTCATTGCTTGACTGAAAATTGATGTTCACATCGGCTCCATTTGTCTTGTGTTTTCATGCATGTCATATGAAAACAATTAGGCTTTTTTAATGAAATTATTAAATTTTCAGTAATATGTAGTACAATTAAGCATGGGCCTGCATCTGTTATTATCATTATGTGCGAAAGTGTTGGGGTGAGCTAGCAATGCAATTCATTCTGGTGTAATCTTAATTTATTAGTGGTGACACTTACATTTGTGAAGTATAACATCAACAGTGTTCTCCTAAGGCGAGATCTGCGAGCAGCTGCCCGACGTCTCCTTTGTAATACCATTCCAAATGCTAAGGAAAACCCCACTAGGCAGGGTAAGCAATTTACTGCTGTGATCAGGTGGTAGTGCACACCTATCACCTCAAGTAATTATTGAACTTGTTATAACGTCGGAGGTCACATGTTAACGTCAACGTTATGGGACCACGATCCATGCTATGTACCGCGGTACGATAGGTGGCGGTATACATCTGATAAATCATGATTGTAAATGCCATAAAAATTTAAAGAATAAGAAGATTACGTCAACATGGCGGATCGCGTTCATACTTAACTAGATTTGGCTGTTCAGTACGTACTCTTTTAGCGCTTGTTAAGTAAGTACTTATTGAAATTAAGTACCTACTCATTGAGTATGCGGTTTCGAATGCAGCCAGTGAGACTGTTTACTTTAGCCGCATTCATCGTGAAACGTCTCTGGTTACTTATGTAACCATGGTTCCCGGAGTAGGGAACGAGACACTGCGTCCTCTAGCGGTCGCTATGGGGAACACCTTGTCGTGAACCGTGTCTGAAGCATACATTGAAAAAACACCAACAACCCTCTAGGGGTCGCTATGGGGAACGATATACCCATGCCGCCATGCTGAGGGGAGTGCGGGCCTGAACCATGGCGAGCACTAAGTATCAACTTTACCATTTTCATGGTGAGTTGCCCCTGGTACGTCAGACGGCTGTCCGTGACTTTGTCCCCTACGGACAAAGGCCTATGCTACATACCAGACTTACCTGTTAGGGCCAGACTCCTGGGCCCGGGATAAAGCTCAAGGTTTGGAATCATAATGGATTCCTTTAAGGGGATACGACCAAGAACCTAGTATCACACTAAGTCTTGGCCGATCACACAGGGGCTAACGCTTGCTCTTGCATAAGCTCTGAAAGGAACTGTCTCAACAGACCTCTAGTGGCCACACCCTGTTAAAGTAGGTAGGATCCTAGAATACCTAAGTGGAGTGGTGCCCAAGGTGAACGGGGCTTAAACCAGCTCAAGAATGGGCACGAAGCAACCGCGCAAAGCCCTCACCATACAGGATTTTAGAAAAGAACGCAAAGAACTAGCGCGCGAACTTACCACAATGTGGATTTTAGAAAGTGCACAAAGCCTTCACGTGCACACTTACCATAACATGGATTTTAGGATACCGTTCTAAGGGAGCTCTCGTGGCACTCTGAAAGAGCAGCTCATAGATGGAATGGTGCATACCAAACCCAATATGTTTGAGAGTCACCAACTCGATCTAAGATATAAAGCTGGAATGGCTAGCAGTACATCTCTAGCTGAGGGGGCAACACACCCAGCTCTAAAACAAGAGGGAGGCTCCGACCTACAGCATGTTCCAATACTGGAACTGCCAGCAGTAAAGTTACCTAGCTGAGGGAACACCGACCCAGCTCTCAACGAGAGAGGGGGCTCGCCCAGCATGATTGTTAGAATCAGAGGTAAGTGTACTGCAAGCTAGCCAAAAACTCAGCGCATCAGAGAGGCGGATTTGGAAGGGCCTAGTTCACCTGATGCTACTGGTTCCAGGTGCCCTGGGAAAACAGAGAACTCAACTCTCACGTGAGAGGAGAACTCCGAAATCAGAAAGAATAGCGCGCTCATAGACAAACCTTTGGTAAAGGGGAGCACTGCTAATAACAGCCCACGGAGCGAACCCGGGCACTCGATAGGAAGCAGCATGCTCATAGTAACCCTCAATGGTGAGGGGAGATCACAGATACCCGGAGGTACTGGGCCAAACGGGAGAGGCAAGCTCAAATACGACCCTCTAAGGCGAGGGGAGCACTGCCTGAGACAGCATTACACAAGAAGGTTCTCACAAATGCCACCTATACTTCTTGCTCGATGCCTCAGCAAGAGGGTATATCCTGGAGCCCGGACATCCAGGAATTTTTTGCAGTGTCGTGCCGGGGGCCTGATGATCAAGAAGGCTCCCGCAGAAGGCTCTGATCTGGCCGCATGGTCCAGGAAGCATGAAGCCGGAACCAGGGCTATCATACCGGCTGGACACAATATCGATGAGTGAGGTAACACTGCTAGTCGAGCACCTGGTTTCTTAATCCAGCAAAGGGGTGCTCACAGAGGACTTACCTTAAAAAGGACAGAAACACACAGGTCCCGGAAAATGCTGCAAAGAAATCTCACAGAAGGATTATACACACATAACCACCAGCACATTAAAACATATATATACATACAGTGGTGTGAAAAAGTGTTGGCCCCCTTCCTGATTTCTTATTTTTTTGCATGTTTGTCACACTTTAATGTTTCAGATCATCAAACAAATTTAAATATTAGTAAAAGATAACACAAGTGAACACAACATGCAGTTTTTAAATGAAGGTTTTTATTATTAAGGGAAAACAAAATCCAAAACTACATGGCCCTGTGTGAAAAAGTGTTTGCCCCCTAAACCTAATAACTGGTTGGGCCACCCTTAGCAGCAACAACTGCAATCAAGCGTTTGCGATAACTTGCAATGAGTCTGTTACAGCGCTGTGGAGGAATTTTGGTCCACTCATCTATGCAGAATTGTTGTAATTCAGCCACATTGGAGGGTTTTCGAGCATGAACCGCCTTTTTAAGGTCATGCCACAGCATCTCAATAGGATTCAGGTCAGGACTTTGACTAGGCCACCCCAAAGTCTTCATTTTGTTTTTCTTCAACCATTCAGAGGTGGACTTGCTGGTGTGTTTTGGATCATCGTCCTGCTGCAGAACCCAAGTTCGCTTCAGCTTGAGATCACGAACAGATGGCCGGACATTCAACTTTAGGATTTTTTGGTAAACAGCAGAATTCATGGTTCCATTTATCACAGCAAGTCTTCCAGGTCCTGAAGCAGCAAAACAGCCCCACACCATCACACTACCACCACCATATTTTACTGTTGGTATGATGTTCTTTTTCTGAAATGCAGTGTTACTTTTACGCCAGACGTAATGGGACACACACCTTCCAAAAAGTTCAACCGACGGTAGTGACATCATGGCTGTCGCCGGCCAAACAAGTTGGTGTTTTTTCAATGTAGGCTTCAGACACGGGTCACGACGAGGCGTCCCCCATAGCGGCCCCTAGAGGACGCAGTTCGAAGTTCCACGAAAGGGAATCACAAATCTCAAACTCAAGCATAATAAATGATTGGGCATGCAAGTTATCACGTTTAAAATGTAGATACATGTTCATTTGCCTTTTATGTAGAACATATATTTTAAGATTTCTATAGAGATTGTTATTTACAGTTGTGGTATTAATATAAAAAAAACACACAGCTCAGAAGCACCTGCAGCACAAGAATTTTACTTTTTCTAATATTCTGTCTCAAGTAATATGACACTTAGTTCTGTGTAGTATTTCTGCATTCCAGTATCCCTCTACTAATATTACAATTTATAAAAAATGAATAGATGATTTATTAATTTGTGTTTACTTGGTCATGTGCCATTGGTTTTTGGACCCTCATTATTGCCTTATTTTATTATCAAATTATCACTTTTCAAAATGTATGTAATTCCAAAGAACAAGTTTGTTTGTTTTTTTTTTGTTTAGTTTTTTTTGTAAATGAAAATTAACAAGTAATGAGTATTTAAAAAATTTTAAAAACTGCTTAGTATTGTAATATTTCACAGTATTACTGTTTCTGTTATATTTTTCATAAGTTTTATATATTAGCAAATAAATGGAGGCTTGGTGAGCATTAGAGACTTTCAAAAACATCTCAAGATCCTAATCATTCCAAGCTTTTGACAGGTAGCGTGTAAACATGCACACACATGTTAGCACACAGAGTGTGTTTACATCTTGTCAGTAGTTGTAGGTTTGACTGTTTCTGTGATTCTTACCATTCTCTGCATAAACCCTGGGTCTGATCTTTGTTCCAGTCTGTCTCGGTCTGCAGTAGATGCTAGAGGAAAGACACCACCCTCCTCTGTGTTTGGGGTACAACACTAGAGACTGGACCGATGAAGTCAGAGGGGTGATCTTCATGTACATCGTCTCTAGTGTTTCCAGAATTGCTCTTTCTACAGCTGCAATACAGAAAATAATTTAATATGTTATGTAGCTTTGATGAATGAAATGAAATGCATTTTGCAGCTTATGTGTGTACAGGTAAATTGATTTGGTATGGAACTCAAGACTGGATTTTCCTCTCACACCAGAAGTACCTGTAAGTATAAATTTACTGCAAGGTTTTAAATGTTAGATGTAGTGTCACATGCATCTGCATTGATTGGTGTTATCAAAAGCATGTCACATTATTTAGGGTAAAATGTTTACCATTTGAAATGATCCTGCCAATATAATATGCGTTTCAGTATTTTAAAGAGACACACTGGAGCTCAAAATGGAGTTGGTAACTTAAACTGATGATCATTTAAATAAAAAATTAGGTGACTTGCTCTGTGTTCTTCCTTGGTGGTCCCCTGAGGGTGTCAGGACAGAAAAGGTGTGCTCTACGGATTGAACACAAAATATGATGTCATTCAGTTTTAGATTGTGTGAAGGGCTGTCAATGCCGCGGTCACACTAGATTGAGCATGCGAAGTTTCCTCTGACACTGTAATAGTATAATGATGATATAACGTCATGCTCTGCAGCGTCTTTAAAAAAAAAAAAAAACTATTTTAGCCGTTTCCTTGCTATGTTTCTGGACCTGGGAACATTACAGTTGTGTTGCTGTCTATGCAGGGTCAGAAAGCTCTCGGATTTCATCAAAAATAAATTGATTTGTGTTCTGAAGATGAACTGAGGTCTTACAGGGTTGGAACGACATGAGGGTGAGTAATTAATGACAGAATTTTCATTTTTGGGTGAACTAACCCTTTAAATTCAACATACATCTTAAATGTAAAAACATACAATCTACTCCAATTTCCTGCAGCGCTGCAGTTTTACATTTGTTCTTTTAATTCATCTATGAGAGCATGCTGTGATGTATCGAACTGCTGTTGGCCCCACGGTTTCAAGTGATGCGAATTTGCAGGTCAGAGGTCACCAAGCTTGAACTTTGTTTGGAACGCAGCGGAATGCGAAACTTTTCACACGGGCTTGCGTTTCTGGTCTGACGCATTCGCACGCATATGAATGGAAGTCAGTGGAAGGAGTGCAGTGTGACCGCCCCTTTATTCTAATTAACGCTCTTGTACCTTGTTTTTTTTTTTTTTTTAATAAAAATTGATAGAATTAGTGATTATATCATGAATCCATTTTCCAAACCCTGTTTTTGGCTTGTCTTGAATCACTACAGTACACCTGAGAGAGGTTAACACATTCATTAGCTTCAGTACAAGCTATAACTGAGAATGAAACACGACTTCCCCCTACTGGTAATGTACGTCATGTACCAGAGAACTTGTTGCAGCAGGTCATGGGATCTCTTTCCCTGTGGAGCGCATTTTTAAAGGCCACATCTATAATGATGGCTCATTTTGGGAGGCCCTTTGTCTCACACACCTTTCTAACACAAATCATGTCTTACAAAAGTTAAATCAATATATTGTTTTCTGTGAATGAGTGTACAGGATGATTTTCACATCATTTTGTAGCAAAAACTCTAGGCTACAAGATCCAGTTCTCAAAAGTCTTGTGAACAAATGCTCTGTATGTGTTTTATTGCCTTATTTCAGTGACTTAAAATTTTTAGTTTTTCACTAACCACGCATAAACGCTGTTTTCTCAATAACACAAACATGTGCATTCATGCTGCTCACATATTATTGTATCCCAGTTTGTGCTGATTACAGTGTTATCAGACTTTAGCCATTAATATGTTTTTAAGATACTGAAACAAACCCAAATGTCAGGGCATGTCAAAACTTCTCCAGGGCCCCAAAACACCCTCAGACCCCAGAGGGTTAAAGGGTTGCAGCTAATGATTATTTTGGTAATCGATTAGTTGGCCAATTATTTTTTCGATTAATCTGATTTTTTTTTTTTTACAAAAAACACTATTCCACATTCTGCCCAATGTCCTTCAAACAAACGTGCTGTAGGATCTATGTCTCGCAACAGACCCACCTACATGATGGAGACACACATCAACCCCTCACATTCCATTGAGACAAATCGAATAACTCCTATCCAAAAGATGCAGTCGTAAAACTCATGCAGGGTCAGTGAAGGTGAAGCATTTCCTGGACTGTTTGGGTATCTCTCAAGATATGCCAAAGAAGACAGTACTTTACCTGCTCTCGCCATGTCGCTGTGTTAAAGCACCCCACGTGTGCTCACGCGTTTAACATCAAAGCGACCAGCCATCTAAAACTCAACACTTCAGTGATACTTCGTTGAAATCGTCAACAAAATTGAAAGTCTTGCACACTAAGACTCTCAGCAGAATTGCTCACACCTCGGCTTCATCACAGACCAACGAGGGGTTTCCCAAAGGACGTCATCCTGACGTCACCGACCAATCAGTAACAGGGTTTCCCTCAAAGACCTCCAGGAAGCCCGCATCAGCCACGGAGTCACCTCAGCTGTCAACCAGCAGAACGCAAGTAAACAAACAACTCTCTAATCTGCTGAACTGGTGAATTTAGATTCTCTGCTCTGTGAATTCTTAAGGTAAATTTGCATCACTCGTGAAAATCTAAAAATGTTATTGTCATTTATTGGGTAATGACACACTCTGAGAACCACTGACATGTATTCATATTCACCTGACAGGACAAGCCAGTATGCTAATGCATTCGCTTAAAGCTTAAAATAAAGAATTCTCATGTTTTGGGCAGCTTGGATCACGTTCTTCTCCCACAGCGGCTCATTCTGTTTCCTTCACTATTTTAGATGCATTTTGTCCATAGAAATGCCTTATTCAGTGCTACACGACCGGACGTGCACTGTGGACAGACCCAACTAATCGATAATGAGAATCGTTGTCGATTATTTTCGTTATCGATAATAATAGATTTTATCGATTAGTTGTTGCAGGCCTAGAATTAAGATTGTTTAAAGCAGTGGTTCTCAAAGTGTGGTACGAGTAGCACTAGTGGTACTCAGGCTCCCTCTAGTGGTACGCAGACGAATCATTAAATTAAATATAAATTAATGTTGATACATTTTAATTTAATCTTTATTTGAGTAAAGGTTTTTTTACATTTAAGTACAGTACAGTTATGTAACTTTTGTTATGTCGCTTACGTGGATGTGGTAATGAAAACCCTACCAATAGTTTTATTAAAGAATGTTGGGAATACAACTCTTTTCAAGGTAATGGCTTTGGATGGGTAACAAAGGCTAAATCAGAGGAATATAGACTAGACAGTATCTGTTTTAACACTCCTACTCCTATCAGTAATATCCCTATTTGGTTGTTTCCAAAACCAGAGGTAGATTTAAATATAAGGGAACTAAAGGATAAATGGGAAGAGAGTGAGAAAGGACACATGGCAAGTCAATACATAAAAAGCACATTTTACAATTATTTCGATATTTATACAGATGGATCCAAAGATGAAGAAAATAGGGCAGGCGTAGGAATATACATACCAACATTGAATGTAAGTATTGGGAAAAGATTACCTGATCAGTTGTCAGTTTATACGGCAGAGATGATGGCGATTATTGTAGGCTTGCAGTGGGTGGAGGAAGTAAAACCTGATAGAGTGGTATGTTGTGTTGACTCTGTAGCAGCCCTTTACAGTATTCAAAACATGAAATCTAATAGAGAAGATTTAATGCTAGAAATCCATCAAAATTTATTTAGATTGCGGAGGCTTCAGATAGATGTGAGATTCTGCTGGGTACCTGCTCATGTAAATATAAAAGGGAATGAGAAAGCAGACAAAATAGCAAAGGAATCAACCAGGGCGAGCGATATTATAAATATTCCCTTTGGTAAAGGAGAAGCTAAGGCAATAATAAAAAAAGAAATGATGAAGAAATGGCAGGACAGATGGGACATGGATAATAGTGGAAGGAAATATTATAGTATACAGAAATTTATCAACGCACAGGGTGTGAATGGAAGGAATAGAAGGGAGGAGTCAGTTCTAACCAGGCTGAGGTTTGACCACACAGGGTTAAATAAAACATTGTTTTTGTTAGGTAAAAGTAAATCAGATGAATGTATGGAATGTAAAATCACAGAAAATGCAGAACATATATTGTTACATTGTAGGAAGTATAGGGAAGAGAGGATTAGATTAAACCAAAAGATAAGTCGGACAGGAAGGAAATGGAACCTTGAGGGTGTTTTGGGAACAACAGGAGAAGGGGTTAAAGATGCACAGGATGCTGTTGTGGAATATCTGAAGGATACAGGGGTATATTATAGGATTTAGATAGTAGTGCTATAATATTTATTTATATATATATATATATATATATAATGTAAAGTGCATTCACTGAGATATAATCCATGCTGCATACTCCGATACAGTAGGTGGCGGTATGCACCTGTTATGTCATGGTTGCAATCCGCCATAAAACTAACAAGAAGAAGAAGAAGAGCAGCCGGAACTATCGGCGGCTGGTGCGCTCGGCATCGGGAGCAATTCGAGGTTGCGCTCTGTACATGCGTGGAAACGGATACGAGGCTGGACTCGGTTCTTAATTTTTACTCCCGTGTTTTCAACAGTTTAGAAGTCTTTGCCGTATGTGTGTAAGTGTTGTACGCTTGTGACCGAGTAACCGCTGTTGATCCCGCAGTGTAAGCACGCGAGAGTGGTGTGTGAGAGAGTTAGCCGCTCGTCTGCACAATGTCTTCAGTCATCTGTCCGGGGTTTCAGAGCAGCACGCGGGACTTCCGCTTCGGGCCCTGGACCCTCACCGCCGCCAAGACGCACATCATGAAGTCCAAAGACATCGAGAGGTACGCCTTCTGCCTCAAACACATCCGTGTGCTGCAGCTCAGGAGGACCGTGTTCTCACCTGTGTGCCTCTGCTGCAGAGTACACCTGAGCTCAGAGTTAGCTCTTTTTAAAGAAGACACGTGATTAAAACTAAAACTAAAGCCCCATGCAAACTGTAGAAGTGTGGCTGTTTTTATCAGGACCTGTTCATGTCCGTGATCTTCTGTGTGTTTACAGAGCTCTACGAGTTTTGTTCCATTCTGACGAAGAATAAAAATGTAATTGTAGCTTGATCAAATATTTGGGCTCATAAAACACAAATATTCATTTATTTAAGTGACGTTTAACAAGAAAGACCTTTGTCACCATTTCTGAACAGGCTTATGATATGCCATCGTTATATCTCAAGGATTTCTTTTAGTTGAAAACATGTGTAAACAAAAACATATATATATATATATAAAGACCAAAAGCATTAAAGCTCAAGCAGAGCAAACGGAAAAAATAAAGCAGGCCGCACACACAGTGTTTATACAGTCAATAAAACATAATATCCTCATCAAAGATGGCTGCTCAGTCTGATAACAAATGATGTTTTAACAAACACGCTCAGATAATCCACTTATTTACCCAGCAGAGAGGTGTACACAGCAGACGGAGCGATTATTTACAGGTAAAGCGCTTCACACAGTACAGATTGTAGTAATACTAACCCAGTCTCTTCTGTGGCAGGTTAGCAGAGAGCATGAACATGCCGGCTCTCCCAGAGATGCTGTTCGGAGACAATGTGCTGCGCATTCAGCACGCCGACGGGTTCGGGATCGAGTTCAACGCCATCGACGCTCTCAAGCGTGTCAACAACATGCAGGACTCTGTGAAAGTGGCTTGCGCGCAGGAGTGGCAGGACAGCAGGTAAACGCGCGGAGATGTTGTGTTATTCACGGGAAAGATGCTTTGACTGGTGTCTGTGCAGAGCCGAGTCGGAGGCGTCTAAAGAGGTGGTGAAGCGCTACGACTGGACCTACACCACAGATTACAGGGGCACTTTACTGGGAGAGCAGCTGCAGATCCAGGTACTGTGTGCTTTAACACTTAAACCGGCTGAGCGCTGACCTCTGACCCAGACCGAGCTTGTGCGCAGGTGAAGCCCACCGCCGAGCGCATCGACATGGAGAAGCTGCGGGCGCGAGAACAGATCAAGTTCTTCGAGGACGTGCTGCTGTTCGAGGACGAGCTGCACGATCACGGCGTGTCCATGATCAGCGTGAAGATCGTGAGTTTCCTCCGATCCGTCTGCTGGTGTTTGGTGCGTCGCCGGTTAGCGTGTGACGGATGATGTCTGCCGTTTCAGAGAGTGATGCCCACCAGCTTCTTCCTCCTGCTGCGGTTCTTCCTGCGAGTGGACGGCGTGCTGATCAGGATAAACGACACGCGTCTTTATCACGAGGCAATATCACTCACCCTATCAGCACAACACAATACCGTGTGATTTTACCATATCTTAAACCTTGTTGCTCTGCACTGCTTTAAACAGGCTGGAAAAAACCACATGCTTCGAGAATTCAGCACACGTGAAAGTAAAATGTCAGACCTCCAGGTGAGTGCTAGATTAACCCTCTGCTGCTCTTCCGTCATTTCTGACAGGAAGCTGTTATTTTAGAATTTGTTTTGGCACTTGCTGTGTGAACACATAACAATCATGAAGGACATGATTTGAAAAGGTTAAATGGTCTTGGAAAAAAAAAGTAAAAAATGACCGCTTTGAAATTCCATCCAGTGGAATCGTTTGGTTCTGCGGCTAAACAAAAGCTCATTTTTTTGAGATATCAACCTCAAATTTGGAACAGCCTATTTAGATTCATGGCTTTGATTCTCATCCAGTTTTAGAGTAAAACATGTTTGACAAAAAATAGTATTTTTGTGCATTGTTCGTAACAATAAACTTCTATAACTTTCTTTGAAAAGAGACCAAGCTTAAGTCTACGCTCCAAAATATTCTAGATTTACAGTTTCAGTCAGAAATGTCAGTCTCGGGTATATTCCAAAACAGATAATAAACGAATTATATTTACTGCATAAATATAACTTAGTATCTAGAAATGCAAAATATGAAATAAAAATCAGTACATTGAAATTTAACAAAAAAAAACATGCGACTGCGCTTCAGAGTGTCTTTCCTTGACTTCGCAGCACGTTCCTCCAGCGGTTTACACAGACCCCAATGAAATCTCCCCGCAGCTGCCGCTGAAGCTCATCGAGTGCGAGAAGCTGGAGTTTCCAGAGAGAACGCCGCAAGCAGAACCATCCGAGTGACGCCGAGCAGAGCGCTCGCTACAGACTCGAACCCACTAAACCTGAACTCTGTACATGTTTGATGTGGAGGATTTCATTAAAATCCTTTGATTCAGAAGTATGTCTAGATGTGATGAGAACGAACTAATACTCACTTGTAGCGTATAGTTCAGTTTTTCCGATCGCTAACACACTGCAACTGAATCAGCGGGCACGGTTTCTCAAAACTCTAAACACGTTCCAGTGTGCTGTCGGTTGTGATGTGTTTGGTGTTGAGCGTTTCTGGTGTATTTCAGATCTCTTTACAGTGGTGTGATAAATGTTTATTTTCCCGTTTCTGCACTCCTTCATTGTTGTTGTGTGCTGTAAAATAACTCCGGACTCCCAATCAAAGGGTTTTATCTCCGTGTTTTGAACTGATCTCACTCGTGTCCGTCTGTGCACCTGTTGGGCTTTTTGTGTCAGCTGAGGCTAAAGTTGGATGATGACAAAAGAGAATGTTTTTGATTAAAATATTTGATTTTGACTTGAGTTTTCAAATTGGCGTGTAGTTCTGAGATTGTGTTTATGGTTTTGAGAAAATTGTGAATTTTATGAATTGTCTTAGCAATTGAGAAAAACTAGTAACTCCTGATGCTCGTCTGAAATCTGGAGATGATTGAGGTTTTAGTTAATAATCCCAGAGTGCTTTAAATGTGACGCACGTGTGTTAGACGCGCTGAATCAGTTCAGTGACTCTAGCTGTAATAAATGAGCTAATGGTTATATTTGCTTTTATTTGTTGAGAAATTCTCTCGAGTAAAGTGGGGAGTATTAAACGTCTGGTTCTCCAAGTCTGTTTGGGAAAAAATTTACTAAATTTAACATTTTGGATCGTTAAGGGAATGCTTTGTAGAAACAATTATTTCCATTTTCACATTGAGAAAGTAGTGATAAAATGTCAAATAATCGAGGGCAATTCGATTTTCTACACAACATCCACTTTTCCCCTTCTCTACCACTCGTACTTTAACTAAATGAAGCTTGACTAAGCATGTAATTATGATGAAAAAGCCCACAGGTTAATTTATGTCATGTTTCTGTACCTCAAAGTCATGTTCGATTCTCAGGGAATTCATGAACTCAGATGAGCCCAAAAATCAAACTTAAATGATTGCAATATACACAAATATATTAAAATTCACTGCTCTAAATTTAAATGAAAAAAAAGAGTCTTAAAACACAAAGATAATTTAGAAAAGAAGATATGCTCCAATGGCTTTTCCCCCTATTTTTATGGCATGAAATGGCACGATGGGCTAAATCAAAGGTCATTCGTACATTAACATTCAGGCTTTCTGTGGGTCTTAAAAATGATTCTTTCACATTAATTTCCATAAATCAGAGAAGAAAGTCTTAAGTTCATAAAATCATGGCATTAAATGTTGCATTAACTGCTAAATAAATATCTGCTGAATAAAGCAGGTAAAGTGAAGTTCAGCCAGCTGAAGGAGGACTTGGAGGAGAGGAGAGACCCCATTCAGGTGCGCCAGCCGCAGAGGTTTAAGGTCAGACTGGCGGAGAGGAGACTGACCCGCGGTGTTTGACAGGGAGCTGACCTGTTCTTCATCTGTTCGCAGGATGAGCTGTGGTGCATTCAGGAGCAGCTGAAGTGTTTCTTCGGCTCGCTGCTCGGATCCAACGTCTACACCACTCCTGAGGCCTCGCAGGGCCTCCCGCCGCACTGATGATGATGTGTAGGTTTGTCACTAACTAACACTAGTCCGGTCAGACAAACACTAGTCCGGTCAGACACACACTAGTCCGGTCAGACACACACTAGTCCGGTCAGACACACACTAGTCCGGTCAGACACACACTAGTCCGGTCAGACACACACTAGTCCGGTCAGACACACACTAGTCCGGTCAGTCAAACACTAGTCCGGTCAGTTCCCCAGAGGAACCGTCCATCAGGCGGGGTGATCCACTCACACTCAGCTCCTACCAGAACATGTACTGTGTCTGCGCTCGATCACGTGTGCTTCACAGACAGACTCTTCACAGCTGTGACAGCGCTCCATTAACCCTCATTAGATTCAGTAGAATTCAGCATGTGTCATTATGAGAAGCAGGGTTTCTGTGGGTCTTAATTCACCCTTCCACAGTTTAAGACTTAAATCAGAGCAGAAAGTCTGAAATTCATAAAGTCGTGGCATTAAATGTTGCATGAACCTCAAAAGAGCATTCAGCTCGCAACGCCCAGATGAAGATCAATTCCCAGCCAAATTACACTCAAAAATGTACGCCATCAACACATTGTACATTTCTTTTCTAGTATTTCTGACGACTCATACGTGGGTCAAACTGACAGCATCAGTGTTCAGATGTGAACTCTTGTGTTTCAGGTCGTTTCACTTCATGCTGGACGTGATTCCCAGCTGTGTGTTTGACTGCATGAGACGCGATCCGGTCTGCCTCGTAACCTCCTGACTCAGACACACTAGCACTGACTGTGGCTTTAACCGTGTGTGTGTTTCCTCGCCCCGATGCCTCAGGCTCCCAGCTTCGGTCCTGACGTTAATAAGCAGGTGAATATATTATTTTTATTTATAAAACGGATCATTCCGGTGCTTGACTCTGATTGGCTGAGCTGTGTTCGAAGCTGTTCAGACACACTAGCACTGACTGTGGCTTTAACCGTGTGTGTGTTTCCTCGCCCCGATGCCTCAGGCTCCCAGCTTCGGTCCTGACGTTAATAAGCAGGTGAATATATTATTTTTATTTATAAAACAGATGGTTCCGGTGCTTGACTCTGATTGGCTGAGCTGCGTTCGAAGCTGTTGTAAATGACGCTACAAAGTAACACACACCTTTGTTTACGTCTGTGTGTTGCTCGGCAACCACTTTGTAGCAACCACAACTGTTTCTGAGGAGCTACATTGTTTGGTGGAAGAATACTGTTTTTATTAATATCTTTACACTTTATTTACTACGTATATGGAATATTTTACGCACTCTGCTTCGCGTCGTAACAACGCCCCTTAGCTGTTATAAATTCACTGTAAACCACGGTTTCACGGGGCTTATTGCTTTATTTGAATATTATTACTGTCTCTCTGATCAGGACGAGGCCACAGAGCTGGTCGTGTTTGTGTTGCATTCTTTAAAGAACAAGAGAAACCCACATGATGGGAACATCTGATGATGATGATGAGGATGAAGAGGTCGTCCCGCAGGTGCATCAGACTAACAGTGCTCGTGTGTCTTGCTTGTGCAGTCGCACCGCTCTCACGCTGAGCTTCTTCAGTCTCCGGGTCTGAAACAGCTGCTGCAGGATGAAGATAAACTGGGGCTGCTGCAGGTCTGACAAACATCATCAGTGCATGTGCTGAAGATCTGAAAACAACCGACACGCTGGAGCTCAACCTTCTGTGTGTCTGTGGTCCTCGTGAATCTTCATCAGGAACTAACGTCTCAGAACTGTGAGGGGTTGTGTGACTAATGGTGGCTGAATGCTGAATAAAACAAACTGTGTGAAATATCATGCAACAAATATTCAAATGAACACACGTAATGCATTTTACGGTTTCGATTTATTGTTGAGATTCTTTAAAAAATGCTGCTTTTGAGCGTCGCCGTACACGTTATACGTTTGTGGTTCATTTACGGCGGACTCGAAACACACGTTAGTGTTCCTGAAGGACTCCAGTGAAATGACTAGCTTTAACCTTCTGAATGCTTTCGTGACACTACAGCTGGAGCCAACACTTCCAGGCGGACTGAAGCATGACTTCATCTGAAACATCTGCAGAACGCATGTGAGGTTTCTGCTAGTGCAAACGCGCTTCACAAGATAAAAACAAACACCTCCACGGTCACAGTGCAGCTTCAAACCGTGCTAGACTGTCCTTTCCAGGAAAACGGCCCAGAATCAATTATTGGCTTGTAGCTGAGCACTCTGAATGATGTGCTCTGGTCTCAGTCCCTGATTTGCTCACGTGTGTTGCTGTGTTTCACAGCACGTCGATGTCCCAGGTTTGAGTGGCGCTGTCAGCGTGAAGCGGACTCACAATCAGATGATCTCTGTCCGCGCCGCATCCACCTGAGAGACACAAGACCTTCAGATCAGAACACACTGAAACAACACCTAATATTCAGCCATATTACTGATCGGACCACACTGACACAAAACCTGAACTGATCTGATGTCTTTCCAGCGGAATCGAATTGGTCTCATTCGGTTGTTATTTTCCTGTTTATTACTGTGAAGCTGCTTTGAAACGATCTGTATTCAGGGCTGGTTTTATGAAGGTAAATTAAAGACTTAAGAGCTTTTTAAGACTAATTTATCTAATAAAGAAAATGTAAGGAATAAATTGAAAGTCAAGTCAATTTATTTCTAGAGCAGAGTTTAAAACAACTTAGAGTTGACCAAAGTGCTTTACATTAATCATGTACAACAACATTCCAACAGAGAGATTAAATTAAGCTCTACAATACATTAAAAGCCAGAGAAAACAGATGAGTTTTTTAACTTCGCCCTGCAGTCTGTCAATGTTGTAGCAGTTCTGACACACAGTCGAAGGCTATGACAGATACGCTGAATGACAGAGTCTTAAAATCAACTCTATATTGAACATGAAGCCAATGAAGGGACATAAAAATTGTGGTAATATGTTCAGGCCTTCGTACACCCCGCAGAGTTTTGCACCAGAAACATGTCATTATGTCTAAATGTACTGTAAATGTAGAGGGAGCACAAAATGTCTTGTGTTAGCAACACGTCAGCGTTTGAAACTACGTCCCACAGATCTCCATTACTTTGTAAATCACTGAACAAAAAGGCTTGAATATCTCGACTCCAAACACTAGAACATGGTCTGAGCACACTGCAAACAAGTGCTGCTCTTCCTCGCTATTTTCCGTTTTGTTTTTCAGTGCAAATTGTCCTTTGCAAATTTTAAAATCAAGATGCAAAAAAGAGATCTTGTTTCTGAGAAATTGATCAAAAAGTTGTGAATTTATGATATATAAAAAAAAAGTTAATTCATTCCTCATTGACAGATATTTGCACTTACATAAACTGGTGATCTTCATTTTGCATCTGAAGTAAATGTAAGGATGTTTAGATATCTGTACTGGAAAACTATACAAAATCACTGACAAAGATATTCAATTGTATTTGTTTTATTTAATTTTTTTGCGGTGCATGCAACATTTAATGCCATGACTTTATAAATTTAATTTCTGCTCCGATTTAAGAGCTTTTGAAGACCCAGGGAATCGGGCTGTAGAAAGAGCGCTAATAAATAAATGTGACTCGCGTGCACTGCTTCTGCTGGAGAAGGAGCGTCCTCGTACCTCTGAGGTCCAGTGCCAGGCTGCGGTTCAGATGAGAGCAGATGCTTCCGTCCTCATTCAGACTCCAGCGCTGGTTGACACGCCCGTGCTCTTCCCATAATGCCACTGGGGCCCCGGCACAGGCTTTCGCACCGATCACAGACAGACAGCCCCCCCGCGCCTGTAGGAACACACACCTGATCAACTTCTGTGGAGCTGCTGCAGCTGAAGCGCACGTGTTGCAAAAACTGTCAAAATCAACACTGACGCTATTGGTTTACAGTAGAATCTGAATCGGTTTATTTCTGTGAAGCTGCTTCGAAACCATCTGTAGTTTATAAAGTGCTGTAGAAATACGTTTTTAACATTGTTTTCTGCAAACTGTGATGACAATATGAAACCGTGACATCTAGAAGAAGAAACGTCTTCCTACAAATATCTGAGAAGAATTTCAGCTCATGCCGTGGTTTATAATATTTGATCAGATGCTGTCGACAGACGAGGACATGTTCTCCTCACTGACCGTGTTCTTCAGCAGGCCGTGGCTGAAGATCCAGCGCTGCGTGTCCAGCGAGCGATCGGCGGGACTCAGGAAGAGTTTGGCTGGAAAGGACCCGTCTGGAAGACTCTCGCTGGTCAGAACTGAACCCAGAGCTCGGCTCCGCAGCTGGATGTACGCTTTGGGCTGAGGAGAAGACAGGAACACACGTGGAGACACAGGAGTGGGATTGGCAGAAAGATGCTGTGTTATCTGTTTGGGGTTTCAGTTCAGATCGCATTCAGGACGAAAGCTACAACAGAATTACATTACGTGATCTTAACTAAGCTGGACAAAAACCGGCTGAACTTTAGGAAAAAGCCCACTGGTGCCATAACTTTAAACTTACTTAAAAATCACATTACAACAGCGTTACATGTATTAATAACACAAGCTGAACTCTGAAGACTCTTTGACGACTAAACGCTGTTAAATATTTACAGACTCCTACAAGATATAGTGACATCAAGCAGAAGCTCATCAAAACTGCAATTAAAAGCACAGATTTTGTTTCTAACGTTCCCTTCACAGCAGCTGCTTGGATCGTAGATGGGACAGGAATCCTAAATCAAGTTTCATTTGCTGCTTTAATATGAATGTGTGCAAAAATTCCAGATTGAATGTTTGTATATCAGATTCACTTTGATGAGACGAAACACGAATCTCTTGCATTATGTTCACACACTTTTTGAGCAGATTTGTTCTGTGCCTTTGACCGGCCATTGCATTCACGTCTGTGACTGGTTACAGTGCTCAACGCTGCAAAAGCACGATGTAAACCAGTAAACCCAGATGCATACAGAAGCTGTAATCAGCTAACTGAACTGTGGCGTCCTGTGAGAGCGGTCACTGACGATGAACTGAAAGCTGACCTGTCTGAGAGGCTTCAGCGATCCGATCGTGTCCCAGCCGCTGTGTTCGGTCCAAACCGGATACCCTCCCGGCTGCAGCAGCATCTGCCGGCCCTTAAAGCGAGCGTATTCATACGCCACCCACCTGTGAGACAACAGCGGCGTGCATCACTGATTCTGAGGGACTTTAGGCAGGAGCGTGAGGGATAACGAGCTCTTACAGGCCGCTGTGGACTCTCACAGACTGGAGGAAGAAGTGGCTCATGTTCTCCGCGTCTGAACACCAGCGATCCTCAAGGCCTTCAAAACCGCTGAGAGAGAAGAGACTCACGGACGGCTCCGCCAAACTCTGAACGGAGCAACAAACAGACACTAGCTCACATAGTTCCTGCAGATTTGGTGAAGGCACATGTAAGAATTTAAGACAATTTAAGTTGAATGGAACACAATACATCAATATGCTCTCTAAATATGATCTAAAAGGATGTACGCTTTGGGCTGAGGAGAAGACAGGAACACACGTGGAGACACAGGAGTGGGATTGACAAAGATGCTGTGTTATCTGTTTGGGGTTTCAGTTCAGATCGCATTCAGGACGAAAGCTACAACAGAATTACATTACGTGATCTTAACTAAGCTGGACAAAAACCGGCTGAACTTTAGGAAAAAGCCCACTGGTGCCATAACTTTAAACTTACTTAAAAATCACATTACAACAGCGTTACATGTATTAATAACACAAGCTGAACTCTGAAGACTCTTTGACGACTAAACGCTGTTAAATATTTACAGACTCCTACAAGATATAGTGACATCAAGCAGAAGCTCATCAAAACTGCAATTAAAAGCACAGATTTTGTTTCTAACGTTCCCTTCACAGCAGCTGCTTGGATCGTAGACGGGACAGGAATCCTAAATCAAGTTTCATTTGCTGCTTTAATATGAATGTGTGCAAAAATTCCAGATTGAATGTTTGTATATCAGATTCACTTTGATGAGACGAAACACGAATCTCTTGCATTATGTTCACACACTTTTTGAGCAGATTTGTTCTGTGCCTTTGACCGGCCATTGCATTCACGTCTGTGACTGGTTACAGTGCTCAACGCTGCAAAAGCACGATGTAAACCAGTAAACCCAGATGCATACAGAAGCTGTAATCAGCTAACTGAACTGTGGCGTCCTGTGAGAGCGGTCACTGACGATGAACTGAAAGCTGACCTGTCTGAGAGGCTTCAGCGATCCGATCGTGTCCCAGCCGCTGTGTTCGGTCCAAACCGGATACCCTCCCGGCTGCAGCAGCATCTGCCGGCCCTTAAAGCGAGCGTATTCATACGCCACCCACCTGTGAGACAACAGCGGCGTGCATCACTGATTCTGAGGGACTTTAGGCAGGAGCGTGAGGGATAACGAGCTCTTACAGGCCGCTGTGGACTCTCACAGACTGGAGGAAGAAGTGGCTCATGTTCTCCGCGTCTGAACACCAGCGATCCTCAAGGCCTTCAAAACCGCTGAGAGAGAAGAGACTCACGGACGGCTCCGCCAAACTCTGAACGGAGCAACAAACAGACACTAGCTCACATAGTTCCTGCAGATTTGGTGAAGGCACATGTAAGAATTTAAGACAATTTAAGTTGAATGGAACACAATACATCAATATGCTCTCTAAATATGATCTAAAAAATACAACTTCCTACAGATTTGACAAAAAATATAATATCATCTCTGATACAAACACTAGAATATGGAAATAACTTTGAGTGAATTTCTGATCACACTGCAAAACAATGATTTGTCCTGTTTTCTAGTGGCAAACATCTAAAGACCCTTTTAGTGGAGATGCAAAATAACTTAAGATATGAAGTCTTGTTTTCTGAGAAATTGATCAAAATTAAGTGAGTTTATGATTAAAATAAGAACAAATCTGTCAGCGGGCTCAGAAAAATCAACTTAATTCAAAGGGAAACAAGTTTTTATTCCTCACTGGCAGATATTTGTTCTTGTTTTAATCATAAACTCACTTCATTTTGATCCATTTTTTAGTAAAGAAGACTTCATATCTTCATTTCTCATCTCCAGTACATGATTCTTGATTTAAGGATGTTTAGATATTTGTACTGGAAAACTGAGGAAGAGATTCATTTTCTGAAGTTCATGCAACATTTAATGCCACGACTTTATGAATTTAAGACTTTCTGCTCTGATTTAAGACCTTTTAAGGCGAAGGATGAATTAAGACTTTTTAAGACTAATGTCACTACACAAATGTTTATTTCTTGTGTGTCCTGACGTATTGTGGAGGACACTGGTTCTCAGAGACTCACGTATGGAATGGGCTTTAAAGACTTGATGGCTGAGGATGTGCAGCCACAGGAAGTGAGGTCAGGGTAATGCCCCTCCCCCAGGATATACTGGTTACCAGAGTAACACTCCTCATCGAACAGCAGCCAACTACGAGAGAGAGAGAATTTTTTTTTTTATTTCAATACACCTTTATTAATTCAAAACAGAGTTATCGACAACACAGTAACCCTGTATCCAAAACACAGAAATGAATAAAATACAAAAATGTGATTTCACTCAACACAGTCCCAAAAAATAAAACATTCACCACAACAGCACATAAAACATTTTTAAAACACCATATGCTTGTGAACTCTTCTACATTATATGTAGTCCTATAGAATTCAAAATCAGCTTTCAGTCTGGCTCTCATCATTGTGTTTACATCAAAAATTTTTTTTTATTTCAATACACCTTTATTAATTCAAAACAGAGTTATCGACAACACAGTAACCCTGTATCCAAAACACAGAAATGAATAAAATACAAAAATGTGATTTCACTCAACAAAGTCCCAAAAAATAAAACATTCACCACAACAGCACATAAAACATTTTTAAAACACCATATGCTTGTGAACTCTTCTACATTATATGTAGTCCTATAGAATTCAAAATCAGCTTTCAGTCTGGCTCTCATCATTGTGTTTACATCAAAATCTTAAGACACTTCTATCCTATTTCTTCTGCTTGGGTCGAGAGCCATTTTTGCTTGACCTAATGTAAAATTCAACAACAGACATTTCACTCTCTACTTCTGACTGGATCTAAAACAGAGAAGAAACAAATGCTTAGAAAATGTCTCTCCAAACATCAGAAACAACTGAAAAAAAGAAGTCTGTCTCAAATAGCAAACACAACGGCCAGTTGTGACCCTGGAGCACAAAACCAGTCACAAGAGTACATTTTTCAAAATTGAGATTGAAGCATCATCTTATTTACAATGTATTTTTGGTTATTGCTACAAATATACCCCAGCGACTTTAGACTGCTTTTGTGCTCCAGGGTCACAATTATCACTTACATGGGATTAATAACAGAAATAAAAGCATTGACAGCCACAACACCATGTAGGATTCTCCTCTGTAAATCTCCGTCCTTCTCTGTCGACGGTGGTTTGTATTTCTCTCTCCACACAGGTCTGATCTCACCGTCAAGCCCTAAATGAGCTCTCCAAGGAGTTCAGCTCTACCACTTAGTTTAAAACCTTGACAAACAATTTATACATAATTTGTCCTTCCATAACATCCAACATATTGGTAAGAGTCTCTCTGACCTCTAACAATTGACCAGTACAGTCTCTCAAATCAGGAAAAAGAGTTAATGCAGGAAAAAGTTCATCAACGATTGGTTGGCATTGTCCATTACAGTTCTCATCTAGCAAAGAAGGTTCAGTCTTTGTGAGCTCACACTTCCAAAAGTTGAGCAGTTGATTTATGACCCTGGTAGATTTAACTCCCACATGAGAGGCTAGACCTGCAGCGCAGATCAAGCAGTGTAACAATCCCAGTCGAACAGAACAACTGCATCACGAAGGGTCCTACTATAATCTCTACTCTGAAACGGGTCCCATGCACTACTAGTCTTTTAATAGACACAATAAAGACTCACAACTTGTTATTCTCTGTTTATGGATCATCCCCCAACCAATAAACAGTTCTTGATGAAACTTCAAGTCCATCAAAAACAAAGGCTCAGCAGGACCCAAATTCCAGCCTCGGGTCAATATGGTTCGGGTTAGGGTCTCCAAACAAGATCCATGGGCCTGACAAGGAGTGGGAAAGCAGTGAGATGAGTGAGAGATGAATGAATGGTAGAAACAGTACGCTCCGTGGGACCCAATGCAGGTCGGTCCCAGAAAAAGTCCACCAAAACCGCTTGTATCTCAGCCAGCAGTTGTTCTGGAGGATCCATACATGATAATCAGTGCCACAACACCAGATTGTTGATCACTGGTATACGCCCCCGAAAAGACATGTGTGGCAAGATCCATTCCCATTTTCTGAGACGTTCAACTTTCTCGAAAACATTTTCCTAATATTTACACACAAAAGTATCATCACCAAGATATTTAAAACCACCCTTTTTTCAAATTAACCCAGCAGGCAAAACAAGTTTCTTCCTTAACTCATCACTGATTGTTACGGCTTCACTTTTCCCCAGTTAACCTTAGCAGAGGACAATTAATACACCAAATATCATTCATATTTTCTACAAGGGAGTTAATATCTTCTTGTTTCTTGACAATGACAACAACATCACTGGTATATGCAGATAATCTAAAAACTCTTTCACACTCAGGAAGGCTTTCTCTTTGTGTTGGAGGGGCTCTGTGGCCAGGGAGTACAGCATGATAGATGATGAACAACCTTAAAGTGAGCACTTCAACCACCGCTGATCTTTAAAATCCTCTCCATGTCACTGTACAAGACTCCAATCATGTTCATAAGAACAGAGCTCAACCCAAATGCCACAAATACTGATGTTCATCTCTGTCAAAAGCCTTGTTCAATTGAAATCAGACAAAGTTCCCAGCCCAATGAATTGGAGAGGAACAAAATATCACAAATTAAAATAATGTCGTCAGATATCAACCTATTGGGGGTATACAGTAACACTTCACTAGCACACTCTCACCGGACACGAACCAATCACATGCCCTACAGTTCCACATCCAAAACATTTCAGCATTTCTGACGTTACATGCAGTATAATCAGAATCATCAACCTTAAACTTAAACACCAAGTTTAAATCTTCATCACTCTTTCTGAGAATCACTTGAATTTGTCTCCTAAAAGACACACCATGTTTAAGATGAGGGGACTTTCAGCTTATGGGAATCATCTTGATCAGAAACACTACTTTTCTATGTTTTTCCAAAAGCTTTTTTTTCTGAAACGGGGGTGCATTCGAAATAATGACTTTTTTAGCAAGAAGGACCCTGGATTACTATTCCACTCTCAAGTAGCTGATTTACTTTGTCCACATTGTCTAGAAAGATCACATCGGCACTATTCTTTCTGGAAGCAGATTTAACACTTTCATATTCAACAATCTCACCTTCCGCTAAACTACACTCTTCAACCGAACACCCATCAGGCGGAGACGGTTTAAAGGGCACCTATTATGCAAAATCCACTTTTACAAGGTGTTTGGACAGAAATATGTGTTGGAGTTGTGTGAACACAGCCACCTTAGAATGATAAAAATCCATCCAGTCATTTAAAAAAAATCTTTATAAAACCAAACCAGGTTATAACCAAAACAAAATCTTTATAAAACCCCACTATTGACTGACAGGTGCGTTTTACCATATCCACAGCTCACAGTGTGTTGTGCCGTCTCCGCCATTTTATCTCGCCGTGGCGTCTCCGAGATACAGTCTGTCAAAGTTGTGGATTTGATGTGGCCACCGCTCCGGCCTTTCTCATCGAACCGAGTTTGAAGCTAAAAAAATCTTTATAAAACCAAACCAGGTTATAACCAAACCAAAATCTTTATAAAACCCCACCACTATTGACTGACAGGTGCGTTTTACCATATCCACAGCTCACAGTGTGTTGTGCCGTCTCCGCCATTTTATCTCGCCGTGGCGTCTCCGAGATACAGTCAGTCAAAGTTGTGGATTTGATGTGGCCACCGCTCCGGCCTTTCTCATCGAACCGAGTTTGAAGCGCCTGGGCCGCTCAGAGTTCAAACGAGCTTGGGTCTGACTTCCCCCCCCTCCGAGCCGCTCGTCCAAGCCGGGGAGAGTACGCCTTCCCCGGGGAGAGTGGGTGGGTCGGAGGGGGTGGAAGAACTCAGTTCAAAGTCCTGGGAGCCCAAACTCGGGTGGGAGGTAGAGCTTCGCGGCCCTGTCCGGACGTCACCAGACCCTGTGGTCTGGTTCAGAAGAAATCGGGCCGTGAAGCCGTAACTTCACGGGGCGATTTATCCACCATACCCAGGGCTAGCGACTCTGGTGTTCGGACAGGCCCGAGGCCCTCTCTCATGAGCCGAGTTTGAACTTTGAAGCTGACTCCGGTTCATACATGTACGGCTGAACACCGGTCCTCTCGAGCTCACTCATGTTGCTTATCCTCTCTGTTTATTGCCATACACAAAGCAGAGACGTCTAGGCTCCGCCCCCTTCTCAAGTCGGTCGGGAAGTTGCAGCTCATTTAAATTTCAGGAAATCCACCCTTGAAACGGCACTTTTTAGACCCGCCCCAAAAATAAAATTTTCAACACATTATAATAAACGATCTGTATGGTATTTTGAGATGAAACTTCACAGGCACATTCTGGAGAGCCATAAGATTAATATTGCATCTTGTAAAAACGGGCATAATAGGTGCCCTTTAATAGCGTGCCAGCGTGTCAGCTTGTGTAAGATAAACTGTTCACCTGCAGCCACACACAAAACAACAGAAAACAAGATCCCACTGAACAACACTGCAAAACATCAACTGAGAAATAAGAAATTAAGAAAGAGAGAAATTTCGAAGACTCACAAGCTTCAACACGCTCTCAGCAGCAGCCAGCGAGAGAGAGAGAGAGAGAGAGAGAGAGAGAGAGAGAGAATTGTTAGAGAGAGGGCTGAAGGACTGCAGCTGAATGTGTGATTTATAGCTACAGGGTTACAGTTTGTCGACTCTCACCTTCCTCGGATCACCCGCAGCGATGCGACACCTGGAACACCACAGTCAGGAACGCCGCTCTCAAACTCTCGGCTCTGACCGCTGTACCGCGTCTGGCTGTAAACACGCAGCTGCGCTCAGAGAGAAACACATTAGCAGAACACGCCAGGACTCTACGCTTGTATGTTAGCGCCACATGAAATGCAAACATACCAAAAACTTTGGTTCCGCGATCCGACAGACGTCCTGTGGTGAAAATAAGATGAATGAAAGTGTGTCATGAACTCAAACACAAAAGCGCTCACTCTTCTCATGAGCTCACCCTGTGAATGGGCCGCAGTGACCGCGCTGAGCTCCGTCCGGCGCCCCAGTCCAGCAGCCCCGGATAATGACCTTTCTCTAGAACACACTGCTGTCCTGTGAAACACCTCTCGCTGTACGCAACCCACCTGAAACACACCCAACGCTCTCCGTTAAGGGCTGTCCACTGCTCTAACTCAGGCCTGCAAAACTCAGTTCCTGGAGGACCTGCAGAGTTTAACATCAAGCCTAATTAAACACAGCTGATCCAGCGAATCAAGTCCTTCAGGCTTATTTGAAAACTACATGGTAGTTGTGTTGAAGCAGGGCTAGAACTAAACTCTGAAGGGCGGCTGCGGCCCTCCGGGATCTGAGTTTTCTCGAAGAGAATAAGTCCACACCACAGTTTTAATGGGGGCTTTGCACCGGCTAGTTATAGGAACTATCAGTCCAATTTTCCTTTGGGGCCAAAGCCCCGATTGATAACTATGTCGATAACGATAACGTTTTAATAATCGTTCTAGCTCAAAGAATATAGTGAAGTCCACAGCACAACTATAGGCAAGGCAAGGCAAGGCAAGTTTATTTGTATAGCACATTTCATACACAATGGTAATTCAAAGTGCTTTCCATAAAATAAAATAAAAACAGTAACGATAACTATATTGTTGGGATCACTTTCAGAAGGTTTTTTTTCCAGCTGATGAATGATAAAAACATTGACAGCCAATCAGAATCCACTCAACTTTAATGAGCTTGAGCGTTTAAAGCAACAGACGCCAAAACTGCAGCACATTTATAATAAACTATGTGCTGGTGTGAGCGCTAAAATAGTTATCATTCCTGGTGTGAACAGGCCTCTGCTGACTGAGATTCGTATGGTGCGGATGAACTCACGCTCCACTCTTCACGCAGAAGCCGTCGGTCTCCTGCAGATCGGGGATCTCCTGATGCTCGTCGATGTCCTCATCACAGATCTTCAGACTCACTGCAGGCTGCAGGAAATCCTGAGGGAGAGACCAACACTCACGTCACAGCACAAACCCTGCTCCGCGCGCTCACATTTACTGCAATGATTCCACTGATCTTCTCTCATCCTCATCTTTCATTCTTAATTAGAAAATAGTTATCAATGTTATCTTGTGCAACAATACTGAGCTGACTAAATAACAGGCTCTCTGCAGGTTTTATTAAGATAAATTTATAACTTTTTGAAGACCAAGTATATGTAGAACAATGTCTTGTATTAGCAATACTTCAAAGTTTGAAAATATTTTATATTTGGGCTGTTATTTGTTCTTGTTTTAATCATAAACTCACTTTATGATCCATTTTTTAGTAAAGAAGACTTCATGTCTTCATTTCTCATCTCCAGTACATGATTCTTGATTTAAGGATGTTTAGATATTTGTACTGGAAAACTGAGGAAGAGATAAATTTTTAGCAGTTCATGCAACATTTAATGCCACGACTTTATGAATTTAAGACTTTCTGCTCTGATTTAAGACCTTTTAATTTGAGGAAGGGCAAATTAAGACTTTTTAAGACCCGCAGAAAGCATGAATAATAACGCGCTGGTCCTCACTGGCCTGCTATAAAAGCTGAAGTGTTTGCACAAGCACAGACAGGCCTGATGAAGACGTTTAAGGACAGACCGATAACAGAGCATCTGCATCATGAAACACACAGCTGTCAAACACACACAGTCAGAGCAGACCGCTGGCGGACAGACATGACAAAGAGTGCATGAAGATTAAGCAGAGAACAGACGGAGAGACGAGGACGACTCACAGTCTGAACACAGCGCAGCGACTGGATCCACAGCTCCGTCCCGCCGAACAGACGCGTACAGTCTGAGTATTCCCCCTCCTCCAGCACACACTGATGACCTCTGAACCCTTCGCTGGAGAACGCCACCCATCTAACACACACACACACACACGCACTCACACACACACACACACACACAACCAACCCCACACAGACACACACACACACACAACCAACCCCACACAGACACACACACACACACACACACACACACACCCCCACCCACACACACACACACACACAACCAACCCCACACAGACACACACACACACACAACCAACCCCACACAGACACACACACACACACACACACAACCAACCAACCAACCCCACACACAGACACACACACACACAGACACACACAAACACACACAGACAGAAACACACACACAACCCCACACACACACACACACACACACACATCAGGGGGTCGCACACCGGACGAGAACCGCAGCGCCGCAGTACGTCTAGGACAACTCTCAGATATCAGCAGTCAAAAACAGTTCATCTGATCACCAAACAGGCAAAAGTTTAAAAATGAACAAAGCGTTTGAAGTACTGTATGGTATTTGACAAAACAGAGCAAACGGGATGAGAAAGCACAATCTATATTACTATAGCTCTCTATATAAAGCATATGGACTTTATTCAAGCCACAGAAAGACAAACGCTTTGTTGAAAGATGCACAAATCTTCCAGCCTAGGATGAAGTCATTATGTACATTAACATTAATTTGGGACAAATATAATGTGATTTTATGGTGATTTGTAAAAAAAAAAAAAGGGATTTTTTTAAATGACATTTTATTATATTTGGGAGCCTCTGGTGCATTATGTAAAGATAATTAATAACACAGATTGCCCTTTGTCTTTGTTTTTTCAAACACCTAATTTCATCAATGATACTTTGTTAATTATTGACGTGTGCTTTTGGTCATTAGATTTACTGTTTTGAACAGCCGTCTTAATCGTGCTAGACGTGACGCAGCGCTTCTCATCCGGTGTGTGACCGGCGTAAGAGAGCAACATGACCGTGTCTGTAAAAGTATCCCATGATCGCCGGGTTCTGTGGCAAAGACACGCACATCCCACCCGTGACCCGCAGAGACGCAGCGGTGTCCGTCAGACAGGGCGCGTGATCCAGCAGCTCCCTGAACACACCCTGGAACTGCGGCTTCTCGAACAACAGCATCTACACAAGAGACACAGCGATCACATGCACTGATCTGAGAACAGCTGTGAACATCAGCGTGTGTCTGACTCACCTTCGGGTCCAGCGGTCTGCTCACCTGCAGCCCACCCTGCGTCAGGAACACAGCACACGTTAGTTTGAAACGCATCAGATCAAACTAGCATGATGCTTATGGAGAGCTATGTGATTGTGTCTGAGGTCGGGAAGCGCTGCCTACGCACCAGTTTTAACGGCCGGAGACTCTTCACGCAGGACAGGAGGGAACCCTGGAGAACCGGCGTGACTCTCCCATCAGTTTCCAGAACGGCGGATCTGCCGCTGAATCCAGGCTGCTCATGAACCACCCAGCTACACACATATTCAGGGAACAAGGACAAAACACATATAAACCAGTGCCAGCGCCACACCGGCTGACATGCAGACGTGAACTCTGATGGTAAATAAATAGAGCAAACCTGGGGTCCGTTCTTCGTACCTCGCTTGATACGTCATACATCTGAGATGATTCGACAGATCCCGGATCTTTTAATCCTGATAACTGATCTCTGGCTAATTTGGTTCTTCAAACAAGTTAGCAGATTTGATTAAAATATCTGGATTAAGTTGTCTGAGATTACTCTCTGGTGACAAGTTAATTGGAAAGGAAAGATATATCGATACTCGAAAGCAGTGCAGTGATTGGCTGGCGGCGAGACAGCAACGTAATGACATCATATCTTTAAAGAGACAGTTTACCCAAAAATGAAAATGTGATGTTTATCCGCTTACCCCCGGGGCATCCCAGATGTAGGTGACTTTGTTTCTTCAGTAGAACACAAACGAACATTTTTAACTCAAACCGTTGCAGTCTGTCAGTCCTATAATGGAGGTGAATGGGAATCACGGCTTTGAGAGTCAAAAAAAAAAAAACATACAAGCAAAACCAAATTAAACCCTGCGGCTCGTGACGATACACTGATGTGTAAAGACACGAAACGATCTGTCTGTGCAAGAAACTGAACAGTATTTATATAGTTTTTTACCTCTGATGCACTGTAATGTCTGAACTGTCCTGAGCGCGTTCGCGTCGACGACGCCTTCTTGCTTTACGGCGGATGGCAGGCTTATAAGTGCATTACCGCCACCTTTCTCTCAAATGGACCATTGACACTCTATCTACAATCTCAATTAGGAGTGTCAGAGGTGTCAATCCCCATCCACTTACATTTTATGACTGACAGACTGCAACAGTTTGAGTTAAAAATCTTAGTTTGTGTTCTACTGAAGAAACAAAGTATTACTTTTTAGGATTTAATCTTAGGCAGATAAAATCAAATGTCCATTTTTGGGTGAACTGTCCCTTTAAGATCAAGGAAACAGCCCAGCCAGCTAACTGACGAAAGTTCTTATATATAAATAAAATGTGTAACCGTTTTTAAGTGATTCCAAATTATTTTTCACCATTGCTCAGTGTCAAGAGTATTCTAATTAGCAATTAATTTAATTTTGGAGCAGATTTGTT